TCTTTGGCCCCATAATCTCCTTGATCAGAAAATTTGGGACACTACTGAGTTACATGACATTACAGTACAAGTTCTCTTATGTCCTGAGTCTTAATTATACTTCATTTTTATGCTTTCACATTTGCTAAATGAAATATTTAGCTTCTGTTCTCTAAAAATTTTCATAAAGGAAGCATTACGCTTTTGTGTGATGTTACTTACTTTAGAGAGAAGTTCAATTTAATGTGTAAGCCTCACACTGCATTCAAAGGGTCTTAAAAAGGACCTCACTAAAAAGACTGAAACAAAAATTGTGTCTTAATGAGGTAGTTTTATTATAATGAGAAAATGTAATGAGAATTAATAAATTGCTTTGGGGCATGGGTAACTAGAAATTGAACCCAAGACCTTTACAATGAGTTATATCTGCAGTTCCTTTTTTATTTTTTATTTAGAGACAGACTCTTACTAAGTTACTACGTTGTCCAGGGTTGGCTAGAACTTAAGTCTTCCTGCCTCAGCTTCCTAGAGTGCTGCAGTTACCAGCAGGGGCTGTCACCTCACCCAACCCCCAAGCCTTAGAGTTGCTTTTTTTTTTCCTTCCATGCTTCTATATCCCTCAAATGTTCTAGATTGCCCATTGAATAAATTTGGGAGAGTGCCCATAATGATCTTACCTGGAAAACATCCACTCAGACACATGTCCTTTGTGAATAGAATAATGTGGACCAAATAAAATATATGAAACTTGGCATGTGAGTATAGAGAGCTCATGTTAGCATAAACTTGAGAAGAGCCAGGTAGCATTCCTCTGAGGAATTAGGAAAATTTTCAAAAGTATCCAGTGTGACCTTCCAGGGGTTCCTTTAGTAAACTTTTGTTTGGTACTTTATCCCTTTTGGCCTGTAACTCTCAGTTCACAAGGGTATATTGTCTTACTAGTTCTAATCCATTCTTTTTTTGTTTTTTGTATTTGTCTCTTTGAGACAGTGTCTCCCTGTGTAGTTCAAGCTGCTGGCCTTGAACTCACTTTGTAGTCCAGGCTGGCCTCAAACTTGAAGTGGTCCTCCTGCCTCAGCTTCCCAGCTGATGGGATTACGGGCCTGCATCATGTCCAGCTCCTGATCCATTCCAAGTGTGACTGAGTATACTCAGAAAGCATTTTGTAGTAATTTTTCAGTTTTCATATTGTGAAACAGAAGACTGAATGTTAAGAGTCCATACATATTTTAAGCTATATTTCAAAACTCAACTTTGATTTAGTCCTGCATCCTTGGACAAGTCAATGATTCTCTTGGCTGGCAGACATTGTTTTTATCTGTGTAGTGGGGCTAACATTAGGCCACATTTAACGTTAAGTTTTTGTTTTGTTTTTTTGCGGAACCAGGGATTGAACCTCAGGCTCTTGCACGTGGCAGGCAACGCTTATTCCACTGAGTTGTCTCCCCGGCCCCTTAACATTAAGTTTAATTTGGTTAAGTTTTACTTAGTTAAATTTGGGATTAAACAAGACAGTACATAGTCAGTGCTTGCTCTACATCTGCCACAGAATAGAATAGAAATGGTAGATGCTGTTGTCATCATCTGACAGAAGTTCTGTGACCACCCCTTCCTTCTCTGTGTAAAAGCAATGGCTTCCAGGGCAGAGAAAAGTCAGTTTCTGAGAAAGGACAGCAGCACAGTTGTACCAAGAGGCTGATGTGACCAAGGGAGAGTGGAGTTTAAGGAGGGAACTTGGTTGCCGATCATTTACTCTTTAGGAAACTAATGCAGACTTTTAATGAATATTTTACTAGGTAAGAAATTTGTCATGAGTAGTGAAGTCAGGTGTGTTTATTTAGAGATAGTTTATAATAATAAGCAAATTAATGAATGAACACTTGTAAGATATAAGAAAAACACATCTCAATTTTTGTTCAGGTAAAGAGTGCTACTGGCCTTAGAAGATTGTTATAAATTTGTTGAGGATAGAAGAAATGTTAGAATGGAAATATTAACCTGACCTTCTAGTCAACTGATGAGCTACCTTTGAGTTTTATTTGCTTAGTACAGTTTGGTTGATTTTTTTTTTTCATAAACTGTGTTTTTCCTAATACTTAATTTTGTTTCAAATTGTCACATATTATAGAAGCTTTTTGCAGAATTACAATTAGATTCTTCTGAAATAGTTGAGCACAGTGCTTCAGATTGTCCTTCTAGGCAGTAATTCGTTTTGTTTTTGCTGCTGGGGATCAAACCCAGGGCCTTGTGTATACTAGGCAAATTCTCTGCCACTAAGCAACGTACCGAGCCTGGCAGTAGCTTCTTGTTCTTTCTCCTTTTTTTTTTTTTCTTTTAATTTTCAAGGTTATACTTTCTTTTCTGACAGATTTTTTTAATTAGTCAATTCAAAGTAATTGTTAAATTAATAACAAGTTTCCCATAAAATTTGACAGAGGAAGTGCCTCAAACCAGGGCATTTTGGTAGGTTTACGTTTCTGTGGACTAATGTGTAGTAAGCCATTGAAAACAATTCTAATTATCAGAAGTTTAATTTGGTTAATAAGTTTTACTTAGTTATGTGTTCTGCATGGCTTTAATTTTCAGAACTTGATAAAAGTCATCAAAGCTATTTAAAACAAGTTTTTGTAGTTAGGTCCAACAGGCACGTTCAATTTCAGAGAGAGAAAAATTGAAAACTTAAAAAAAGTAACAGATTCATTCATTCATTGTAAGGCTTGCAGAACTAATAACAGTGAAGAAACAAATTTGTAATGGCAGTGAAGAAACAAATAAATTAGAGAAAACCTTTAGGTAACAGTTGTTTTTTCCTTTGAAATATACCCAGCATGCCAGCTGTTCAATAACATTAACATAAAAGTAGAAATAAAACAGGTAGGCTAGATGTGGTAGCACACACCTGTAATCCCAGCACTTAGAAGGCTGGGGCAGCAGGATCACTATGAGTTGGAGGCCAGCCTGGGCTATATAGTGAATTCAAAGTCAGCCAGAGCTACATAGTAAGACCCTGTCTCAAAAAAAAAAAACCACCAAAAACAAAATACGTAGCTATCCTCAGTCAATAAGATTTTGGCTTGGATATTTCACTGTTAATGGCAGAAGTCCAGTTGTATGTAATTGAAAGTTTAATTTGTAACTAAATGATTTTTCACTACAGATGAGGATTTCCAGATTGTAAAGATAGGCAGTACTGTCCGTATTGCCCAATAAGAAAAGCAAATGTAGATGGTTTGCAGCAGAACAGTGGGTCTTGCAAAGTGTATTAGAAAATTCTGCTTTTTACCTGAGTATGACATTATTCAGTATTACTAGTAATATTTCCTCCTGCTTTAAGAAAACAATAGGAAGCAGCGATCCCGACCCAGGAAGCCACGGAGGACTAGAAATGAAGAGAGTGAGCAAGATGGAGACTTGGAAGGTCCTGTGATTGACGAGTCTGCACTTTCCACAAAGGAGCTGCTGGGCCTGCAGCAGGCTGAGGAGCGGCTGAGGAGAGACTTCATTGACAGGCTAAAAAGGGTAATAACTTGACTCATGCACATGATAGTGAAAAACCTTGTGCTAAGCCAGTCCTTTCAGTGCCCTCCTATAATCCCAGCACCCTCAAAGACAGAGGCAGGAGGAACACAGGTTTGAGTCCAGCCTGGGCAGTTTAGCAACTTGGAAGATCCTGCCTCAAAATAAATAAAGAGAGGCTAGAGATGTAGGTCAGTTCAATCCTGAATTCAGTTCCTCAGTACTGAGGGAGGAAATTCCTCATTTTGCGCTATGTTAGTAGTTGAGACCACAGTACATGCTTTGATGAATAGCTGTCCTACTTTGGTTACCAGTGTTTAAGTAGTACAGTTTGAAAAGTGATAGTAAGATTTGCAGTAATGTCATTCTTAGATGAGTGTGAGGTGGTAGTAATGTAAGTAGTCTTTTTTTTTTTTTTTTTTTCGGAACCGGGGATTGAACTCAGGCCTTTGTGCTTGCCAGGCAAGCGCTTATTCCACTGAGCCATCTCCCCGGCCCCTTAAGTAGGCTTTTAAAGTGAAGAAATAATCTTCTTGCCTAGTGTTGCTTATGTGTATGTTTAAAATAGATCTGCATTCAAATTACAGAGACCACGAAACTGCCCCACAGCAAAATACACCTGCAAACTCTGCGATGTTCTGATTGAGTCTGTTGCATTTGCCCATAAGCATATCAAAGAGAAGAGACACAAGAAAAACATGAAGGTAAGCATCACATGACTAAACAAGTGTCTGAGTTATTGGCATCTTTGTGACTTTTTTCTTAAATCTGTGGAGTTAATATGTTTATATTTTGTTTGTTAAATTCGTTTTAATTAAAATACTTCATCCTTGTAAGATATATTTCTTGGGCAGGATGATAGAACCAAGGTATATGTCCTTGTGACAGTAATAAAGCAAATAATCAGTTTGTCCTTGCTGTTTTTAATGTTCTACTTTGGACTTTCTCCGTACTTCTGCATATTGTGTGTTATCACTGATCCTGTGTACATGAAATGTGTATGTGTTTGATAGGATAAAGACTGACACAGCTGAAATGAGAAAGAGGGTGCAGAAAAGGATTCTAGAAAACTGTAGGATGGTGCCTTAGTGAATGGCAGAAAGTAAAAACTATGAGTCGTTTTTAATCTTAATATTGCTCTTAAAAGGAAAAGCAGGAAGAAGAATTGCTCACTACACTGCCTCCACCAGTGCCCTCCCAGGTAAGGGCAGTCGGCATTGCCATTGACAGAGTGGTGCAGGAGTTTGGCCTACACAGTGAGGACTTGGAACAGAGGCTGGAAGTTAAACACATCATGGGAAGTGTGCTCCAGCACAAGCTACCAGGTATGCTCTAGTTTTGTCTTCAGTGTATCATCACATTTCCAATAATTGCCACTTATTTTTAGTACTTTTTTTTGTTTAGTTTTTTCCTGAAGCATTTGGAATTTTTTCAGACTTTTCTCAAGGAACAGATTTTCACATGCATTATCATTATAGACCTGTTTTCATAATACAGTAAATTTCACTGTGTGATAAATTTTATTATAGTTGAATGCCTCAGATTATTGAGACACCATATATATTGCTTTACTTTTCTATTTAAATTGACACAATATTTTTGTATTAAGGATATAATACTCTAGAATCATTTTCAAGTTATATGTGTTGAAAGGGTTTCATTTAAGCGTACTTAAAAGAATGCAGCATCTAAAAAGAACTGTGAGGAACTAGTTTGTTAAGTCATTTGTAATTGGTTTTGTAGGGGTTTTTTGGTAATTGTTTTGTAGTTGAATTCATTTTTTTAGATGTCTGTCTTTTGCTATTTTTAATTTAGTTTTTGTTGTTGTTTTTTGTTTGTTTGTTTTGTTTTGTTTTGTTTTTGAGATAGTGTTTCACCATGTCATGTAAGCTGGCCTTGAACTCCTATGCCCATGTGATCCTCCTGCCTCAGCCTTCTGCTTAGCTCTGCTTTTAGGCACATGCCACTGGCTTATTTATAAGGTTAGATCAAAGGTGCAAGTAAGGTTGATAAGGACAGCAATCTGTGATATGCTGCTTATAAAACTGTAAGACCAAGTGTGGCAAATGCCTCATCAGCTGCCATCCTTTGAGACAGTAAACCCCATCTCATCACATTGACCATCCCTGTTTAGATAAATCCTGCAGATAAATCAGATTTATTAGAATTCAGATAAATCAAAATTATCTGTAGAGGCAGATGGAGATTCCTTTTTATCTTGAGGATGGAGCGTGATAGTGAAATTCTTTTAAATTAGCCACTTTTTTTTTTTTTTTTTTTTTTTTTTTTTTTTTTTTTTTTGTGGTTTAGGGGAGGGACTACAGGGTGTACAGGGTCTCTTGGTAGATCGGACTCATAGTGATCCACCTGTTTACAGCCTCCCAAGGGCTGGGATTATAGGCGCACACCATCTCGCTCAGTCTGTTTCCTTTTTAGAAAGTTCCCCTTTTAGAAGGTTTCACAGGTGATCCTAATTCATAGTCAAGGTAAAATATTATTAGATACATCACCTTATAATTCTTCAGTTTGTTCTATTAGATCATAACACTCAGTATTAAATACCAATGTTTAACATTAAATACTAGTATTTTATGTATAATAATTCAATAGTTATTTCATTGTGTAAGTCTCCTGAATAGTCAACTATAATTTAAGTGATTTTTTTGTTATACATTTCTGTGTAAAAGTGTACAATACTTCATTTTAGAAAGCCCTCCAAAAAATTACTTTCAAGTGATTAGCAAAACTTTAAAAAAAGTTGTGATGAGAAAGAATATTTTAGCAGAGTATTAGTAAAACATCAAAAATAACTGCCATACGTTAATACAATGGGTGCTCACATGTGTACACATGCCTTCCACTGAGAAAGAAAGCATACTTCCTGTGTTTCTCAGGTGATAGAACCCAGTGTCTTCACACTGAGCTATATCCCCAGCCCTTTTTTTTTTTTTTATTTTTTGAGATAGCATCTCACAGAATTGCTGAGTTGCCTGTACTAGGCTCAAACTTGGTGATCCTCCTGCCTCAGCCTCCCAGACTGCTGGGATTATGAGTGTGCATCACTGTGCCCTGCTAATTGCTTCTGTCCAGCATTTTAATGTGTATCTGTCTTGTAATTATTTTTGGAAGTTTTTCTAGGGGAACTTTGTCAAATGCTTTTTATACTGTTAAATCATATTAAAAATATAGTGAAAGATGAATGTTATCATTTCATTACTTTACAGTAGATTTTATTTATTTTTTTACAGTAGATTTTTCTTATATGTGCTTCCTAAAAAGTAAAATGTTTATATTAATTCTTTTTATAAAAAGAGTATTTGTTTTTTGGGGTGGTGGTTTTGTTTTGGAGGTGGTGAATATTTTGAGACAGGCCCTCAAATTGTGGTGCAGGCTAGTCTTGAACTCACTGTATCACTGTGTAGCCCAGACTGGCCTTGAAATCACAACACTCCTCCTACCTCAGGCTCCCAGGTGCTGGTATTACAAGCGTACATACACTTGGCTCACTGTAAAGTTTATAAATGTGAAATAGGCGTGCTTTTTCAACTGTCATATTTTAAAAATCACTGCAGATAACTTTACATACAAAAGCTAAGCATGGATAACATAGAGGATGTAAGCATGTTTAGAAAGAGAACGATACCAAGAGAGCGTGGTTGAGCCACCCATTGAGATATCACCTGCCCTTGCAGGGGCAGCAGCCTGATCACCAGTGGTTCAAGCAGGCAAAATACTGATGGGCTCACATCAGATCTTCTTCACAGCAAGACGTGTATTACAGCCCCATCGTGACCATGTTAAGCCACAGCCTTTCTGTCAAAATTAAGGACTAAGCAAAGAACCCCCCATTTCTGCCCTTTGTTTATGCCGAACTTGACTAGTTTTGCTTTACGGTTTCATTTCTAAAATAACACTGTTTTGGGGGCCGGGGAGATGGCTCAGTGGATGAAGCACTTCCCTGGCAAGTGCAAGGGCCTGAGTTCAATCCCTGGTTCCGCCAAAAAAAAATATAAAAAAATAAAATAGCACTGTTTTAATTACAAATTTTGAGAAATTTTACTTTTATTTATGACTTTTATGTATTTATTTTTAGATTGTTCTCTAAGATTATATGGGTCTTCCTGTAGCCGATTGGGTTTCAAAAATTCGGATGTAAACATTGACATTCAATTTCCAGCCATTGTAAGTATGAAATGAAATGTTGGAATTTTCAGAGTGGTATGGAAATTCTTTTTCTCAAATGTGAACTGTGTATAAATATATTATAGACATTTGAAGTAATGTTTAATGTAATGATGACAGCTTTTCCCCCAGTATTTCCCCATTTTTATGTCTTCTGCATTTCTTCAGTTTTATAACTACTTCAGAGAATTTTTTTATGCTTCATAGATTTTTGTACTTATTTTATGCTGTAGATCTTTATACTTATAATGTAAATTTTCTAACCATATGGATCTTTTGGGGGTTTTTTGAGACAGGGTCTCACTATGTGTAGTTCAAGCTGTCTTTGCACTCACTGTGTAGCTGGCCTCAGACGCCAACAGTTCTCTTGCCTCAGCCTCTTGAGTTTTGGGATATAAGTGTATGCCACTATATTGGTAAACAGTGTGAATCTTAGAGGGATATTTGTTTCTGTTCTTTTGAAAATGATTTCTTGGTAGAATCAACTTTCCAGTGACAAGAAAGGAATTCACATCTGAAAAAAAATGTAGGTTTTTAGAATTCAAGATTTTAATGCTGAATTATTTCCCAAGTTTTTGTTCTTTACATGCCAATTACGTTAAGACAATTATGTTTTCAAATAACATTTTTATTTCAAATGTGTTTGAAAAAGATGCTGATCGTAAAAATAACCTGGAGGGCTGGGGAGATAGCTCAGTGGAATAACTGCTTGCCTGGCAAGTGCAAGGTCCTGTGTTCAATCCCTGGTACCACCAAAAAAAAAAAAAGTACCATAACTTAGAAGGGGCCGAGGTTACCCAATTACCCATCAGGTTCCACAGCCAGTTCACAACCAGTCTCAACCTGGCTAGAATTACTTGTTAAAAAATACAGATTGCATGGTTCCACCTGCAGGGATTCAATTTCTTAACCTCTGACTTCGTGCTATTTCTGATTGTTAAAGCTGCCTGGTCAGCAGACCAGTAGGTTTTATATTCTTTTAATCTTCCTTAAATTATGATCATTGATTTACCAACCATGGCACTTATTTTATGATATTTTTAAAAGAAAATATACAATAATAAAAAACATTAGAAACAATGCAGAATTTTACTAAATAAAATATGAATTCAACAGTATTTGTTTTATTGCATAATGTTATCTTCAAATTAGTTGAACAGATTATATGCATGCAAAAGTGGAAAAAAGTTGTAAGAAATTAAAATGAAGAAAAATTTTAAGTATTAACTGCTTCTTTCATTACACCAATGGAAATTAGTAGTACAGTTATCCAGTCCATCCAGCACACATATGTAAATATATCTTTCCCCCACCCTCCCTCTCCTGTCCTTCTCCACATCTCAGGATTTCCTTCCCTTTGGTTTCTTTCCCTCTCTACAGCACCTATTTATTCTACCTTTCAGATTTTACTCTCCCAGGTTCTTACACTAGCAAGACAATACAGTGCTTGCACATGAGGGTCTGATTTATTTCCCTTACCAATATAGTCTCTAGTTGCATCCATTTACTGATAAAGACTCAAATTTATCTTTTTTACAGCTGAGTAATACTCCATTGTGTAAAAATCCTACATATTCTTTATCCATTCCTTGGGTGATAGGCATTTGGGTTGTTTCCAAGATTTAGTTATGACAAATTGCGCTGCAATAAACATGGATACACATATATCACTGTGGTATGATGTTTTCAGTTCATTGGAAAAAGTACCCAGGAGGGGAATAGCTGGGTTGAATGGTATCTCCAATCCTAGCTTTTTGAGAAATCGCCACACTGATTTGCATAGTGGTTGTACCTGTCTACAATCCCACCTTTATTCCCAAAGCCCCTCCAGCATTTGTTATTGGTTGACTTCTTGATGATAGCCATTCTTTCTGAGGTGAGATGGAATCTCAGTGTTATTTTAATTTACATTTTTCAAGTGAGAAATGATGTTGAAAATTTTTCATATATTTATTTTCCATTTGTATTTCTTCATCCAGAAGTGTGTGTCATTTAAGATTCCCGTTTTTGGACTGGGTCTTCGAATTCTGTAGACCTGATTTTTTAAAATTCTTTATTTGTTCTAGATAGAAGACTTTTGTCTGAAGGACAGTTGGCTAAAATTTATTCTCAATTTATGAATTTTCATTTTACTCTGTCATGGTTTCCCTAATTTCTCTCTTGGTACATTCCTTGTTTGTGTGCAGATGTGCTATTGATTTTTGAGGGCCAGGGATTTAGCACAGTGGTATAAGTGCCTGCCTGGCAAGTACAAGGTCCTGAGTTTGATCCCCAGTACCAAAAAAAAAAAATCATTTTTGAGTGTTGACTTTGTATCTTGCTATACTTCTGAGTTTGGTTATTAAATCTACAAGTCTCTTGGTGGAATTTTTGAAGTCTTCTATGTAGAATACCATGTCATCTGCAAAAAATAATTTTACTTCTTTTCTAATACTCTTTTCATTTTTTTCTCTCATGTAATTGCTTTGGCTAATGTTTCCAGAACTGTATCAAACAGGAGTGGTGACAGTAGGCATCCTTGTCTTGTTACTAATTTTAAAGTGAAGGCTTTCAATTTTTTTTTTTTTTTTTTTTTTTTTGGCGGAACCGGGGATAGATTTCAGGCTTGCCAGGGACGCGCTTATTCCACTGAGCCATCTCCCTGGCCCCCCAAGGCCTTGAATTTTTGTCAATTTAGTACAATGTTGGCTTTTATCAGGTTGAGGTAAACATCTATTCCAGTTTTTCTGTAGGGTTCTTATCATGAATGAGTGTTAGACTTTATCAATTTTTTCTGCATCTATTAAGATTGTGTGACTTTTATCATTGTCTCTGTTGGTGTGGTATATTACATTTATGGATTTTTGTATATTGAACCATACCTGCATTTGTGTGATGAATCTCACTTAGTCATGATATATAAACTTCTTGATGATTTGCTGCATTCTGTTTGCTAATATTTCATTGAGGATTTTTGCATCCATGTTCATTATGGAGATAGGCCTGTACTCTCTTTAGGCTGTGTCTTTCTCTAGTTTTGGTATCAGTAATGCTTGCCTCTAGTATTGAGTTTGGGAGACTTGCTTCCTTTTCAATTTCATTGAAGAGTTTAACAAGCGTTGTAGAATTCAACTGTGAATCCATCAGGACCTGGGCTTTTTTTTGTTGGTAGATTTTTTTATTACATTTTTCAATTTCATTTACTGTTACTACATTATTTGGAATTTTTATACTTTCTTGATTTAGCTTTCGTAGTTCATATGTATTTAGTTAATCCGTCCATTTCTTCTGTTTTCCACCCTGTGAGAGTAAAAATTTTGAGTAGGTATTGATAATCTTCTGAATTTTCTATATGGTCTGTAGTATATTTGCCTTTTTCCTTTATCACATGAATTTTTTTTTTTTTCATTTTAGTACAGGGTCTACAGTGTTTACAGGATCTCTATGTAGATCGGACTTGCAGTGATCTGCCTGTGTTCAGCCTCCCAAGAGCTGGGATTACAAGCACACGCCACCACGCCCAGTCTCATTTGCTATCTCAGCACACCCTGGGGGCAGGGCTGGCAGTGCAGGCCAGGGGCGTTGAGTCCTGGCCACTGCATTTGCCTAACCAAGCACTTTAATCCGCTGAGCTGTTTGACCAGCCTGAATTTAATTTTTTTTAATAAAGTTGGCTAGGTTTTTCTCCATTTTATTTGTTTTTTCAAAGAACCAACTGTTTGATTTATTAACTCTTTATATTATTTTTCTTTGTTGCCATGGTATTAATTTCTCCTCTGATCTTTATGATTTCCTGCCTTCTTTGGGCTTGATTTGCTCTTCTTTTTCTAGAAGTTTGAAATGTAGCATAAGATTATTCATTTGAGCTCATTCTGTTTTCCTGATGTGTGACTATAAATTTCCCTCTTAAGACAGCTTTCATTCATTGCATCCCACAGGTTCTGGTAGGTTGTGCCTGCATTTTCATTTGATTTGTCAGTATTGTTTAATTTCTTATTTAATTTCATCTACGACCCATTGATTGTCCAGGAGGGTATCATAAGTGTTTAGGGAGTTTTTGTAGTTTCTTTTGTCAATTTCCAATTTCACTGCACTGTGGTCAAATAATACACATGGGATAATTTCAGCTCCTTCGCATTTACTTAAGCAGGAGCTTTAGACCACTAAGCTATCTCTCTGACTCCCTGCATTTACTTAAGCATACTCCATGTGCTAGTATATGGTCTGTTTTGGAGAATGTCCAATATGCAGCTGAGAAGAAAGTGTTGTTGTTGTTTTTTTTTTTTTTTTTTTTCCATTTATGTATTTGGTACAGGGTCTCCCTATGCAGTTCGGACTCATAGTGATCCTCCTGTTTTTGGCCTCCCTAGTGCTGGGATTTTAGGCATGAGCCACCACACCCAAACTGTTGGTGGCTCAGCATGCCCCGGGGACAGGGCTAGCGTGGCATATGGGACCTAGGATTGAACCCTGGTCCCTGTACTTGCCAAAGCAGGCTTTTAGTCCTCTGAGCTATCTCACCGGCCCTTAGAAAGTTTACTCTGATGTTACTGGGTAGACCACTCTGGTAAGATCTAAGTCCATCTCTTCACAATTTTCCCTTAATTCTGTCATTTCTTTGTTCATTTTTTGCCTTGTTGATCTGTCTCTTTGTGACAGTGGAGTGGTAAAGTCCCCCATTCCAATTGGGCTAATTATCATTTGATTGTTCATGTCTGTCAAAATTAGTCTTAGTAGTTGCGTGCTCCTACATTGGGTGTATATGTATTTATTATTGTTCTCTCTTCCTCTTACAGTTTGCTTCAATCTATGAATTTTCTTTAGAGTAAAATGTGTTTCTTGTATACAGCATATTGTTGGAATTGGTTTCTTGATCCACTCTGCCAATGTGCTTCTTTTGATTGGTGAATTGAGGCCATTTACATTGATGGTTATGATATATGTATTGATGTATCTTTGTCATGTTATTTTCATGCTGTACGTTCCCTACTTTTCCCCTCTGTTTAATTGCTTGCTCTGCTTTGTTTGAGACGAAATCGGGCACATTCAGGGTGGTATGGTCGTAGACACTTCTAACAGTTTGAGGATAGGATATCGCACAAAGTTCTAGTGTGTTGTGGACATGCATAATGACCATGACAGTTACTCGTGGCCAGGCGTCAC